CCTGGATGCTCCTGAGTGATGTGCTCTGGGCAGCCCTGCTTTGGCAGGGGGGTTGGACTGGATGGGCTCTAGAAGGTCCCTTCCAACTCTGTCAAATCTGTGAATCCGTGCAGAGACTGATCCCTAAAAACAAACCCTTCCCCATTATTTCAGTCTAATGAAGATTTTCAGCTTCTGGATTCCTCTCAAAGGAATAGTCTCGTGTAGAACTATTCTTACAATATTTATAGCGCTTTGTAAGTTTTAGTTTTGTTGTCTTATTTTGTAGCTAATTGTTGAATAATTCCAAACGAGCTCAGGTAACATTTCTGGGTAAATGTCACTACTTTCAGAAAAAAATGTTACTACACCTGACGATAATAGATCTTTCCTTTCTTGTACAGTCTGTTAGTTTCTGACCTTTTTGTTGCATTTTAGCCAAACAGCTTGTTTGTCTTTGATTCCTTGAGGCTTATTCTGTACTAATCCTTTGAAAATCAGGATAGTCTTTCCACAAGACATCTTGGTGGTCATCAGGTTTTGGTGAAGGCGGAAAAGCAGCCAAATTGTGGTCCCTGCATGAGATGAAAAGCTACTCTTAAAATCTACTTATGTTGATGTGCAAGGTAACTTTCACATCATTTTTTTTCTTTAATTGGCCAGGAAAAAAAATCACTAATTGTAGTCCCTGGAGTCCTTAATGGCTTGCGTTTGCAGGACAGAGGTGCCAGGAATTAGTGCTGCAACACTATTGAACACTTGGGTGTTAGAGTGTGACTTCCCAGAAGTTGAGTACAAGAAACATGGAGCCACACGGACCTTTCATCTCTTCTCCTCACCGTGAGGGGCAACACCCTGGTCAGGTGCCCTCAGCAGGCTTTGACTAACCCCTCTTTCCCACCAGTGCTGTAAAACTGACTTAACTAATATAATTTATAATATAATATATTTTTATTATATATAATAATATATAGTAATATATTATAAAATACATATAATATAATTATATTATAAATTAATGCGATTGCAGGAGAAGGCATGTAGCTTTTATAACAAGGTAAAAGATTTCTGTTCAGCTAAAGCACAGCTTAACCTCTGTTTGTGCAGAGAATTACAAAAGGAAATTGTCTAAACTTGCTGTATAGTGCATTGTAAATACTGAGGGATGTGTTTGCTGTTGTGCTCGTGCCTATGGAGAGTTAATGGACAAACTGTTGATGCACTTGCATGAACTACATGATATTCAGATTTATTGTTAGTGTGTTACCTCCCTGGCACTTTAGGCCAAGGACAGAGACAGGATGTAAGCAACGAGATAATACATACCTAAAGGGAAGGAAAAAAAAAAAAAAAAAAAAGACCCACAATGTCAGATTCTTTGTAAATTAGAAGAATAGTACTTTAAGGATGGCTGTGAAAATGCCTATTTACAAACTGCTGTCTCTTAAAGAGAGAGTACAAGTGCCTCATGAATATCTGAAGAAAAAACAGTCCGTTTTTAAGAACAAAAGAGTCGCTGTATCAGAACAAACCAAACGGAAGTGCTTTGTGAAATCAAGCAGATAGCTGGTACAGAACGCAACAGAGGGAAGTCACATTGGATGCAGAATTCAAAGCAGTGAGGTCATTTAAGAAGCAGTGGTTTACTGGAGACTGTACAAAATTCATCATCACATCAAGATTTTAAGTTGATTTTTTTTTTAAAGTATGTAATTGCATATCATTTATTATTTAGGTTCATTAAAAATTAAAGTTCTTTGAGCTCTTTAGCCTTCTCTTTAGGCTGCGTTTGGCAGAAGTGAAGGTCCCTTCCAACCTAGATGATTCTGTGATTCTAGAAACTAGGAAAGGAGAACTAATCCTCCTTGGACAAAAAGCTGTGGTGTACGTCGCCTGTGCTGAACCAAAGCTGCCTGCAAATGCCATGTATTAAAATATTCGGTGTATGCCACCTTAAGGACACTCTTACAGCCACTGCTGACTTGTTTTGCAGCACTCTTTTACTTTTCTCTTTATGTAGATGTTGCAGTCTAAATTTTTTAATTTTTTTTAACAAGTGGAAAGTGCTTCTGGAATTGTGTCTTGCCGCTTCCAAATGCGCACTGTGCCATGAGACTGTCACATCAACCAGGACCTACTAATGCCAGATCATGTTCATAATCTTGAGTTTTGTAGAAACCAGGGACCAGTTTACTTTATAGGAAAATATTGTTGTTTTGTTTTGTTTTTTTAAAGCACTTAATTTTTCAAGGAGAGAAATAAACTGTCTTTGTATGTCACGATTGTGTAAGCATCTGAAAATGGTGTCTTGGTGGCCAGCTGTGGTAGCTCTGTGTCCTGGTAACTTGTGCTGTGATCCCTCTTTGCTCCTCATGACGTGCTAGCCTTCAACATGCGAGAGAAGACACAAACTGCTGCTGCTTTTCCATCCCCACCATTTCCTAATTGTCTTTTGCCATATATTTTTCCATTACTTTCAGAACCCTCTCCTAATTCCCTTTTCTGTGTCATCTGGTTGCTTCAGTTGCCCCAGTTCTTTCATTCCTTCACTTCAGCTTCCCCTTTTCCCATCAAGAATTTGTACGTGTAATATTTTCTATAAGGAGCACCTTATAGACTTGGCCGTGCGCGGGTGGCCCCTGCTGAAATGCCTTCTTGCTCTGCTGTCTATAGGTGGAAACTGCAGATTTTTAGTTTCCTCCAGAGTCATTCCAATGGAGTTGTGGGGCCTTCTGTTGGCACTAGTGCTGGTGAAGATGTAGCCAGAACTTAGACTTTGCCTTCAAAGTCTGAAAAACACGACTGGAGGAAATCCAAACAGCTGAAGCCATCAGGGTGATTGTGGGGTTCGTCATCCTGTTTCATTGGCTTAAAGGGTGGCTTTTCTTGGGGCACCTTTTGTTTTTCTTGCTCTGCTGTCTATAGGTGGAAACTGCAGATTTTTAGTTTCCTCCAGAGTCATTCCAATGGAGTTGTGGGGCCTTCTGTTGGCACTAGTGCTGGTGAAGATGTAGCCAGAACTTAGACTTTGCCTTCAAAGTCTGAAAAACACGACTGGAGGAAATCCAAACAGCTGAAGCCATCAGGGTGATTGTGGGGTTCGTCATCCTGTTTCATTGGCTTAAAGGGTGGCTTTTCTTGGGGCACCTTTTGTTCAGATGACCACAAGTTTGGATCACTGACCTTTCTTTGCATCATCATTGAGGCACGCTAATGAGGGCTATATACGGAAGCTGGTGGATTTTACAAATTTTAGTGGAATTGGTGACAAGACATAAAGACTTCACACTGTGCACAGAGTTGACAATCAGCTTGTGCGCCCTGGTGAAATCCTCTTTGTGTTAAACCTAGTGGTGGTGTCTCCAAAGCTGTATGCCAGTTGAAGCCACTGGGTTGGGGTACAACTGTACAGACGGTGCTGATCCCCGTAAGACACGTGGGCAACAACTGTGTGTTTTCAGGTGGCTAAAAGGGTTATTGCTTCTCTACCTTGATTTTACAAATTTTAGTGGAATTGGTGACAAGACATAAAGACTTCACACTGTGCACAGAGTTGACAATCAGCTTGTGCGCCCTGGTGAAATCCTCTTTGTGTTAAACCTAGTGGTGGTGTCTCCAAAGCTGTATGCCAGTTGAAGCCACTGGGTTGGGGTACAACTGTACAGACGGTGCTGATCCCCGTAAGACACGTGGGCAACAACTGTGTGTTTTCAGGTGGCTAAAAGGGTTATTGCTTCTCTACCTTGAAATAAGTCTTTGGTGCAAAGTTAACGCATGTTGTGTGATATTTCTTCCCGTCATCTCTATTGTGTTATAAAAAGCAGTTTCAAAATAAACGTTTGAAAATACCTTACTGTGTTGGTTTCCTCAATAGGACTGTAAAACAGTTTGTGCTGGTTAAAGCCAGTAATTAATTTTACTGCCTTATCCAGAAAAAGTGTTGACCCAACTCAGACTCACCATTCCCCCCGCCCCCACCAGATGAATATATTTACACAGAGTCGCTGTTGTTATAAATCGAAGGTGTAAAGAAACTTTGCTCTCCAATTTGGAATAAATTATTTGGGCCCTTGATCCAGGAGGTTATGTGATAAATGTTTTTAACGAATTTAAATGTTCTACAGCTAATAACATTCACGGATTTTCTTCATAACTATTGATGATCTTGAACAAAGATAATTTCTTGCAATATTTCAGTGAGAAGAAAAATGGGTAGTGTTAATTTTTCAGAGTAATGAAATCTTAAGAGAAATGTTTATAAACACTCTGCATGCAAATCTGAGGCGTCAGAGTGCAGTGGTGAGGGTGGTTGGTGATGCTTGACATTTGGAAAGTGAGTTGGAGTGTTTTTTACACAGGAAATTCTATACTTCATGGGTACACTGTGAACTGACCAACGAAGCTGTTCAGCAAGACTTCTCACTCACAGAATGGGACAAAAAGTAAAAAAAACCAGGTTATATATGTTGAATAGATGGCTGGTCTTAATTAAGTGCTACCTTTGTCTCCATAGATAGAGTTTTCATTTCTTTATGCAGCAATATAGTTCGCTGTTGCAGGGTAACTTAAGGTATAAAACCTCTTTTTTCCTGAAGAGCTTCTAGTAATTGTTGTTTTTTTCCCCTCACCTTGATATGTCACTCTTGCTGTAGGAAATTTATTCTGGTTTTGGTTGTTATTTGAGTGCTTTCATTTGTTTGAGGTGAGATCGGGTGATGATTACTCAGTGGAGAAAAAACTCATAATGTTAAATAGATATCTTTATACAATGGGTCTCATCATCAACATAAATTTTTGAGCATTCCAAGTGCTGCTTCTGCTATAGCCTGAAATAGCTTCAGTGTCAGAGGCAGTTTTCCATTGCAGATAATAAGATTCAGACTTTTTAAACATCATTCAAAACATAAAATACTAGAAGCCTAGTTAGAAAACAGTATTTTTACTGTTGCGGTTGTTACGAAAATACATAAAAATGTAGATGCCCCATATAAATTTCTCCCTCGTGTTTATTGGTTTTGCAGGCACTATCCTGGTTGACAACATGCTGATCAAAGGGACCGCAGGAGGACCGGACCCCACCATTGAGCTCTCCTTAAAGGACAACGTGGACTACTGGGTGATCCTCGATCCCATCAGCCAGAGGTTATACCTGAACAGCACTGGCCGAGTTCTGGACAGAGATGTAAGTTTGGGGCTCGCTGTTTGTTTTCTTTTCTCTTCTCCCCGTAGACATTAATTTCTAAATCTGTGTGTGCTCACAGAAAGACCGTAAACACAAGACCTGCTCGAATATAATAGCTGTCTCTATCTTTTGTCCCCTGGTGGATGTGAAGAGAGTTAATTTGATTCTTTATTAGGACTTATTGGGAGCAGGCAAAAACTTGACTGTGTGCATAATTATTATATGCAGACGAACGCAACAATAAAAACCAAACAAATAGATATGTGGGTTGGCAGATACATATATCAAACCAAACTTGAGTTTACTGAATTAAAACCATTTTTATTCTGCTGTGCTGCTGTTGTTTGGAAGAATGCCACTCACCTCATGTCCCGTGACACTTATTAAAACTCTACTCTGTGTACGTTGACTTAGGAAATGTGAGAGAGAGGAAAGGAATAATGAATATTGCAATTCTCTTACAAAGCTTGACATATTCTTGACATATATTGGCATATATTTTGGCAGTCAAATACAGTTGGCGACCGGTCACGAGTGGTGTCCCGGTATATATTTTTGCAGTCAAATCCAGTTGGCGACCGGTCACGAGTGGTGTCCCCAGGTGTACGTTGACTTAGGAAATGTGAGAGAGAGGAAAGGAATAATGAATATTGCAATTCTCTTACAAAGCTTGACATATTCTTGACATATATTGGCATATATTTTGGCAGTCAAATACAGTTGGCGACCGGTCACGAGTGGTGTCCCCAGGGCTGGGGACTGGGACCCGTTCTCTTGAACATCTTTATCAATGATCTGGCCGAGGGGATCGAGTGCACCCTCAGTCAGTTCACAGGCAACACCACGTTGGGTGGGAGTGTCGACCTGCTGGAGGGCAGAGAGGCTTTGCAGAGGGATCTGGACAGGCTGGATGGATGGGCCGAGGCCAATGGGATGAGGTTCAAGAAGGCCAAGTGCCGGGTCCTGCCCTTGGGTCCCACCAACGGGGCCCCTGCAGCGCTCCAGGCTGGGGGCAGAGTGGCTGGAGCTGCCTGGCAGAAAAGGCCCTGGGGGTGTTGGTGGCCTGTGGGCTGAACAGGAGCCAGCAGTGTGCCCAGGTGGCCAAGAAGGCCACCAGCATCCTGGCCTGTGTCAGGAACAGCGTGGGGAGGAGGACTCAGGAGGTGATGGTCCCCCTGTCCTGGGCACTGGTGAGGCCCCACCTCAAGGGCTGGGTTCAGTTTTGGGCCCCTTCCCACCAAAAAAGACACTGAGGTGCTGGAGCGGGTCCAGAGAAGGGCAATGGAGCTGGTGAGGGGTCTGGAGAAGAAGTCTCCTGAGGAGAGGCTGAGGGAGCTGGGGGTGTTCAGCCTGGAGGAGGCTGAGGGGAGACCTTCTGGCTCTCTCCAACTCCCTGAAAGGAGGGTGTAGCCAGGGGGGGTTGGTCTCTTCTCCCAAGTCCCAGGCGATGGGACAAGAGGAAATGGCCTCAAGTTGAACCAGGGGAGGTTTAGATTGAAGAGTAGGAAAAATTTCTTCACGGAAAGGGTTATGAAGCCTTGGAATAGGCTGCCAAGGGAAGTGGTTGAGGCACCATCCCTGAAGGTGTTCAAAAGACGGGTTGACATGGTCCTCAGGAATATGGTTTAGTGATTTTTTATTGCTTATTTCTTATTTATTTTTTTGTCAGGTTGATGGTTGGACTAGATGATCTTTAAGGTCCCTTCCAACCTAGACGATTCTATGATTCCATGATTCTATATTCAATTGAGAATTTGCTAGTTTAGATTCTTTTTCTAAGGCAGCATAAAATTTGTGTGGTATGCTCACTCCTAGTAAGATTAAAGAAATATTTTCAGGCTAAGTTTGATTTAAAAAAAAAAAAAAAGATTAAAAGCACAAAATGAATGGGAGCGTTCTCATCTATGCTAATTTCATTGAAGAGAAACACTTGAGAAATAGAGAATTTTCTCACAGTCTTACAGCGTTGCTGCAGTTCATCAGAATCTGAAAGGAAAATTGACTCAAAAGTGACTGTGATCAACATGGGAAGAGTGCTTTAGAGATCAGGAGTTCTCCTTGGAGTGCATGAAAGTTTGTTTTGTATTAGCTTGATTGATTAATTTGTCTTCTGTGTATGTTTGGAGATATATTCGTAAGTACCAGAAACACCATGCAAATTTTTCTTCGTTTCCACTTTTAGCTTAAAAGCCGTGATTGAATTCAGTTGTTCTTAATTTGGTTTTAATTCACAAACTGTCTTTATTTGTTGTTTTTTTTAAGTCAGAGCAAAAAGCAAGAGCCCCTCATGGGAGGTGAGGCTTAAGAAGCACTCAAGAAGTGTAGGGTCGGTTCTTCACACCAGTCTGCATGTACATATGGCATTAAGAAAGAAAATTAGTTCCTTTTAAATAAGTGCTAATAATTTTTTCAGTGACTCTTTTAGCCACACTTTTTGCTACAGAATTCTCACATCTGAGGTGCTTTGCCGAAACCACCTTGTCAAATGATATGATTTCTGATACTAGTAACAGTCTGATTAAACCCACAAATACTCCACATTATTATGAATACATATGGACATTTTAGAATCATAGAATTGTCCAGGTTGGAAGGGACCTTTCAGATCATCTAGTCCAACCATCAACCTCACTCTGATAAAAACCACCACCAAACCATGTCTCTAAGCATGTTGTCAACCCGGCTTCTAAATACCTCCAGGGATGGGGCCTCAACCCCTTCCCTGGGCAGCCCAGTCCAAGCCTTCAGAACCCTTCCCTGTCAACATGTTTCCTACTCTCCAACCTGAACCTCCCCTGGTGCAACGTGAGGCCGTTTCCTCTTGTCCCATGGCCTGTTCCTTGGGAGAAGAGACCGACCCCCCCTGGCTACACCCTCCTTTCAGGGAGTTGGAGAGAGCCAGAAGGTCTCCCCTCAGCCTCCTTTTCTCCAGGCTGAACACCCCCAGCTCCCTCAGCCTCTCCTCAGGAGACTTCTTCTCCAGACCCCTCCCCAGCTCCGTTGCCCTTCTAGATTCAAGTCACAAGGAAACAAGTGGAGAGTGTATGTTTTCTTAATTATATATAGATAATATCAGTCATTTTACATTGGTATTTAAGGGGCTATTTCCTCATTTTTTACTATGAACTGTAACAGTGCTTATCCTGTGTACTGTAGTGCTGGGTAAAATGACTCATTTGTGTTTATTTACATTTACTGGGATATGAAAAGAGATTGAAGGTATTTGCTGTTTTGGATGTGAGCCCCACAGTAGCTGTCTTCTGTGGTGTCAATGAATTGCCTTAAGTCACAAGCCAAAGAAAATGAAAGCAAACCACAAAAGCCCCACTGAGTAAAAATATGAAATATATGTCATGGGCTTGATTAATATGGCTCTTACCTAAAGGCGTGTTCCAGCCTTCAGAACCAGAGCTGTACTAACCCCTAAAAGGCAAAATCGTTCAAGAGTTTGTGCAGTTCATTTTCTCTTCGCTTTTTTTTTTCCCTCCTTTAACAAAAAAGTAAACTATTTTTCTCATCTTTCAAGTTGAAACTAGTAGTGCCAATAAAACTTGGGGTTTTATTAAGTTGATCCTTAAAATTCAATTTTTTATTACAGAACAAGAATTGTACTCTGATTCACAAATGGTGCATAAATGATTGCATTCAATATATCTGGATATTCTTCCCATTTTTCTCTCCGATGCGCTTGCTTGTCATCTCCCTGCTGATTCAGTTAGCCTCATCCTCTTCTTTTTTTATTACTTTTCTTGAAAGAAAATTTTATTAGATGCCATTGATTGATTTTTACGAAGAGTGACAGTATGTTTTCCAAACAACATCAGATTAAAAGAAAATTCCAGACTTTTGTTCCAGTTCTTTAAGTACTTAGAAAGGATGAATTGGAACTGAAGGTGAAAGGAACTACTAAAATGTGTTGGGATAATTTGTCCCCGGTATCATAAACAGTTTATTACATTGTACCTTTATGGATTTATGTTTATTGTCTATAAATGCGTAGATTGATGAGTGCTTGTTTAAACACCTCATTTTAAATCTAAGCATTCAGCCAGCATAAAATGTATGTATGTGGAAGTGATACTGATCCTGGACTCTGTCATATATTAACAATGGCAAAAAACCTATTATTTTCTAGGGCATTGCTAATAAATCTAGATAAACTCACTAACATCTGAAGTTTATTGAAGGTGACCTAAAAATTCTTGGATCTTTTGCAAATACGGCCGGCTTGAAAAATAAATGGAAAGTATAATATTAGAGGCTTAATTGAAGTTACAGATGATATTTGGCACATTCCTACCTGTGTCAGAAGTGCCAGAAAATAAAAGTAGAACCACATCATAGCTGGCTGCAGATTTTTACAACAAAGGGGATGGACTCCTAGTTAAAAGCTCATGCTGTAGTTCATTGCAGAGAAAGACGAGGGTAAATGTGTAGGGAAGAATAGATATTCCATGTTAGATCTCGACACCACCATAAAGGCCCCTCTTTCCCCAACTCATGGGACTCTTTAAAAACTGATTAATGCCAAAATCTGAAGGGTAAAAAAAGCCATATGGTTCTAAAATCCACTATAGCAAAACTGGAAAAAAATCAATCAATCGCAGAAATTGTAGCATTTAGAATGAGTGAAAGCGTAATGACATAGATATATAATTCTGGTATAATGAGCCTCAGAATCTCAGTACAAAAAACTGTTTGCATTCACCGTACAGAATTGCAGGCATCTTTAAATCATGGGTGGTGTGAGTTGTTTATTCTTTTGAAGACTTTGAGGTTAATAAACACAGAATTTTCTCATTTTGTCCTTCCCATGCTTCCTTGCTCTCTGCTGAGTGTTAGATACAGAATCAAAATAGACTTTCTGTCAATATTCTACATGCTGGACTGCTACTTCAAACATGTAAATTGGCACTTGCAGTGGTGGGAAAGCACTGAAGAGAAGTCCTGCTGGAATGCTGGATTTCCATAGCACTCTCTGGGAATTTCAGTTCCAATCAAAGGAGCTATTTTCCTTTACTGTTCTTAGAACTATTTTATTAACTCAGGAAAGTAATAGTAGCCTTTCCAGCTTATATTTCTTTACCCATTCATCAAGTTTGGGGGATATTTTTATTTGAATATTATGATGTTCACCGGAGTAAAACCAGCTGCAATCTGGTTTTTCAACATTTAAAGGTGACCAAGTTGTTTCTAAACTACTTTGTAAATGTAAGTGGTAGCATATTGAATTTATTTCTATCTTGACCTTTCAATTCCAATATTCATAAACCAAAGGTTAAAATGTGTGACATTTCCTGGGTATTTTTCAGTAACCAGAAGATGTTCAAAAGATGGGCTTTTTTTTTTTGTTCTCAAGGGAAATGCGAAGGGCTAATCGTGCTGTGGGGATTTTTATTTATTTATTAGCTCATACAGCTGGCCAAGCTCGGTCTGCCTTTGAGACCTAGATCTACTTAAAATATTTCCAGTGTGAGTTGTAGTCAGGACACTCTGAGAGAAGCTTTTTAATCCAAACGTAGAGCATTAAACATAAGGTAGTAATGTAGGCAGGCTGATGGGCTGTAAGTGAACATGATCAATATTAACATCAGTGGAAAATTTAACTGGCTTTTTTTTTTCAGATTTTGACTATGTATTCTAAAAATGTATTTTCACTTACAGCCGCCAATGTCCATTCAGTCCATCGTGGTGCAAGTCCAGTGCGTTAACAAGAAGGTTGGCACCATTATCAACCACGAAGTACGAATTGTGGTGAGAGACAGGAACGATAACTCGCCCCAGTTCCAGCAGCAGCGATACTACGTGGCAGTAAATGAGGTCAGAACCACTTACCTGTGGGGTTTTTCTCTCTTGTGTTGTGTCATGGCTAGATGCTGCCTTTCAGTTCTTTCACTTCTCATTTAAAAACACAGTAAATTCAGTTGTTTAGTTGTTTTAAAACAGCTTTTACTTCTGTCACTTGGAAAACGCAGCACAGACAGTATACTTCAATTTTTAGCATGCAAGCTGTTCACCCGTTTTCTTAAGGAGTAAGTCAGCACACTTCTCATCAGGACACTCGGAATATTGCAGAAGGCACGAGAGTCTGAAGGTACATCTCCGTGAGCAAAGCATTGATCTGTTAAGTTTACAAAATGTTTTAATGCATTATGCAGTTGTATCAACAAACCTGGAAGTAAAACAAATGTATTTATAGAAAGCAAATGTAAAGCCAATAGTTCAAAAGGTTTTATTAACGGTATTAAAGCCTGACAAAGTGCAGTTTTGATTTACTGCTGGTTTTTTTAATTAATGATGCCTGTGAAGGGAATACTTTTGCTTTATTTTCTTCTCCATTTTATTTGTTTTATATTTCTCCGTATTATTTGAAGGAAAAAATGTATTTCTTTCTTGAGCTGGCACAACTTCATTTCACTTTGTAGTTAAATTTGTTATTCTATTAGGGATTGAATAATCTGCTAATAACCGGCACAAAGATCTGTGTTTTCAGTAAGTTAGGATCCCGGGGATTTAGTAGTAAGAAGTGGAATTGGGAGCTTAAACGTAGTGTCCACACGGAAACTAAGAGGAGAATGGAAAGATGAGATGGGTCAGTCTTGTGCAGGTAAAGAATGGAATAATTACAGTTGCATTTAAGGAAATAAAGCTGTTAAATACGTAGTGTGCATTGTGTCCCTGCTGGGCTTTGGGAAGCTTTTTTCTGTGAAAGAGTATGACTGCTTTCGTCTTGTTTGATTTGAGCAGAATTGATCTGCTGTTTCAAAAAAGAACTTGGATACTTGTGTGTGTTTAGGAGGTTCAGCTTTTCAGTGTGTCTGTGTGTTGTAGCAATCACACTCCGTTGCTCTAAGGGACCAAGTGGGCAGTGATTCGCAGGAGATCTCACAGACCCCAGGAAAGGAGTGGAAGAGTTGCTTGATGAGTTTAGGCCTAATGAAGGTAAAAGTATGGAGAAAAATACCAAACCCCACATGTGATTTTTGAGTAGAGACCTGCAGTTGAGATTCGGATACGCAGCTTTGCCAGACTGGTTGGTTTCCTGACGGGTGCCACCTTTTAAAGTGAGATTATGTCCCTTCAGACAAATGTTTGGCAATCCATCTGCCGACGTTTCTTTCCACCAGAATTTGGAGGTCACAAAATACAATCTGGATGAGTATTAGAAAAGTCCTCCTTATGCTTTTAAATCATTTTCAGATTGGTCTTTGCATGGTAATTGTAATTTCCATGGTTTTGCAGACCTGTCGCAGAAGTGCTTTTGGTGGTGAGTGAAGGCGACATAAGCATCGGTCTGAAGTGCCTGTACTGGCCGTGATGCAGGTGCCAGACCCATTCCGAGACCTGCATAATTTTTGCAGTAGAGCTGAAGGCAGGTGGTATGTCACCACTGCAATACCAATGCTAAGGAAGCAAGGATTTTTCCATAATGAGGAGTCCGAAAGGCAGAGTGAAAAATGCACCATTTAAAATTATTTATACTCAGAAGTTTAGCAATGTTCCGAGTATGTGCAATCATTTATTTGTGTTACTGTTGGGCAAAATGCGATGTTGCTCTTTCCACCAGTTGCAGTCCTGATTTAATTAGCTCCTTTGTTTCATTTTATCACTGTTATGCTTATAGCTTCTGACATGGCACCACTGTGCCCTTCAGCAGTACCCAGTGGGCTAATGCTCTCATTAATTAACCGAGAAAAAGTTCACAAAGCAGCTCAGACTTTCTCAAAGGTTTTAGTGAGTGATTACATTTTTTAATGATAGTTTATTCTGCTAGTAATTGGTACTGCCTCTAGTGAGTTTAACTACAGGAATGCGCTGGAATGAGGGTTTTCTGGTTGTTTTTTGATTGCCTCTGGTCTCTGCTTTTAGTTTGCGTGTAAACTAAAAAGTACAGAAATTTCTCTTACCTGAGTAGCATGAAGCAAATCAAAGGACAGGTAAATTTTATTTACAGCTACCATACACATGAGCATCACAAGTATCTCCTGGATTTTCTAGCCAGGAAATTTTGTTTCTGTCAATTTGAGGACTGACTTGTTTGGGTGCTTTACAGGGTTGCATTTGGCATTTTCTCCTGTCGGCTGCCTCACCTCTCTCTGGCCATCCAATGTGGGGTGAAGAACACGTTAACTGGGGCTTTATAACCATACTACAGTCACTGCTGCTTGCACAAACCGTCAGGTGGACTTCCCACATACACTATTTTTGATCTTTATCAATGATCTGGCCAAGGGGATCGAGTGCACCCTCAGTCAGTTTGCAGAGGACCCCACGTTGGGTGGGAGTGTCGACCTGCTGGAGGGCAGAGAGGCTCTGCACAGGGATCCGGACAGGCTGGATGGATGGGCCGAGGCCAATGGGATGAGGTTCAAGAAGGCCAAGTGCCGGGTCCTGCCCTTGGGTCCCACCAACGGGGCCCCTGCAGCGCTCCAGGCTGGGGGCAGAGTGGCTGGAGCTGCCTGGCAGAAAAGGACCTGGGGGTGTTGGTGGCCTGTGGGCTGAACAGGAGCCAGCAGTGTGCCCAGGTGGCCAAGAAGGCCACCAGCATCCTGGCCTGTATCAAGAACAGCGTGGGGATGAGGACTCAGGAGATGATGGTCCCCCTGTCCTGGGCACTGGTGAGGCCCCACCTCGAGGGCTGTGTCCAGTTTTGGGCCCCTTCCCACAAAAAAGACCTTGAGGGGCTGGAGCGGGTGCAGAGAAGGGCAATGGAGCTGGTGAGGGGTCTGGAGAAGAAGTCTCCTGAGGAGGGGCTGAGGGAGCCTGGAGAAGAGGAGGCTGAGGGGAGACCTTCTGGCTCTCTCCAACTCCCTGAAAGGAGGGTGTAGCCAGGGGGGGTTGGTCTCTTCTCCCAAGTCCCAGGCGATGGAACAAGAGGAAATGGCCTCAAGTTGCACCAGGGGAGGTTCGTATCAGATATTGGGAAAAAAGTTTATATGGAAAGAGTTCTGAAGCCTTGGAATGGGCTGCCCAGGAAAGGGATTGAGGCCCCATCCCTGGAGGGATTTAAAAGATGGGTTGACACAGTGCTTAGAGACATGGTTTAGTGATGGTTTTTATCAGAGTGAGGTTGATGGTTGGACTAGATGGTCTGAAAGGTCCCTTCCAACCTGGACAATTCTATGATTCTATGTAACACACGAAACAAAGAAAAAAACCCCATGGAATATTTCTGATCATCATAAAAATTTTACCAGTGACCTTAACTTGTTCTTACTTTCATGAGGAGATTCATAATTCTGTGGATAGCAGTTGGATTTGCTTTTGGCTGAGACACTTGTGTTGAAAAAGCATAAAAAAGGGAAAAGGGAAACGTGCTCCTTAACAGCAGCACCTGTCTAAAGGAGGACAGAGGAGTTTTGTTTCTCCATATTAAACTTTAGTATCTCCTACACAAAGGGACTGATATTACATAGTAAACTGACTGTGCTCAGAGTCTTACCTTATGCAAGATAAAACATTAGGAATTGTAAAGAAAAAATTATGTGAGTGTTAGTGACAGTTGGAGGGTAATAACCTCTCTGGGAATTAGACATGGTGAAAAAAAACCATGACGACAAGAAACAAGTAAGATTTCAAAAGAATGTAATTAAACAAATAGAGAGGAAATGCACACAATAAATCTTACTCTTCCACAGTCAACAGCTGTAATGCTTAAAAATTTCCTTCGACGTGATTTATGTCTTTTAGAAGTCTAGATGCAGTCAGGAATGTTCAGCCATTTCACAAAACAATTTGGAAAAAAATTTTCCTATTATTGCCTATTTACAAAGTTAAAAATGAATAATTTTTCACAGTGACCCTGAACAGCAGAGCAAAGTAAGATTTACAGTTAATCATTCTGAGCTAATATTCTTTTGATGATGTCTACCTGCAGAGATTAATTATTTCAATACCACAAGGAAAAAGATATGAATAATTACACCAGAAGCAATGAAAATTCAGCACGAGTTATCATTCTCAACAGCCCAAAGCCAAAGTTTTGAGACAGCTGAAGTTAAAGAAACACATTCGTGTTGCAAAGGATTCCCATCTCTGTCAGCTTAAGGAGGGGGAGGAGGGAGGGAAACACACCTGAAACAACAACAAACCAACTCTAAAATTTTGGTTTACAAGCAGAAAATTCTCATTAGGTATAAGATTATGCATGCTTAATAAAATAACACTGACTTCAAACAGTATTCTAGTAACTCCAATACCATTTCCAGATCCCCCATGTTATTAAATGCTCATGAATTTACCAATGCCTCTGTAGCACTCGGGTAAGGCTCATATGAAAAATTAATACAAAAAAGTCAGTCTTATAAAACCCAGGCAGTGCAGAATTAGAGTTGCTTGACCCGAGGTAAAAGCTGTTAAGATAAGTTGTGTTTAACGCAGACAACCACAATTCTGCCTTAGTACAAGATTTTAGTTTCTAGTCCCTTTGTTATGTCACGTGTATTTAAAATTCTTGTGGCAATACTATAGATTTGCCTGTAGAGCATTAACAGAGTTCCACAATTCTTCTGAATTTCAATCTAACTATAGAATGTTGTGTTAATGTACTGCAAGAACTCCTATCTTTAAGTCACTAATAATGCGTGGTTAAATTTAGCCCCAGGCTCATGTCATTTTGTCAGGATTTTTTTCTAAATTAATAACAGTATGAAGTTTCATATGAATAAAAATAAATAAAATAATAAATAATAGAACTCCTCTCAGCTTTTACACTGAGCATGGGGCAGATGGGGTGGAATACCCTGTTGGTCAGGTTTGGGTCACCTCTCCTGTCCCCTCCTCCCTGCAGGGGGGACCCCTCTGTGCTTTTCTGACCCTCC